ATGTATTTCAGAGAGGGAGAGATGGAAACATCAATGATGAGAGAGAATCATTGATCACCTGCTTCATGTATATCTCCCACTGGGGATTGAGTCTTCAACCTGGGCATGTGCCCTGACCAGAAATTGAATCATGACTTTTTGGTTCATTAGTTGATGCTCAACCACTGAGTGATGCTGGAGGGGCAAGATCATCATTTCTAACTGGCCCCTCGCTGAACTCCTATACAGAGTCTTGCCCTGTTCTGGCTCCAGAGACCAGACAGGCTTCTAGCTCAAGCTTTAGCCTTCAAGATGCTCCTATTTCTAAGAATGTTGGAAGAGCAGGGGCCGGAGATGGGCCCTGCCCCAAGGGATGAGCTTGATGCTATGGTATCAGCCAGGCAGCCACCTCTATTGGGAAACCAACAGTGAAATCCTACCCTCTGATTTCCCCAGAGAACCAGTACATTCACAACGTTTGCATGCAAAGAGCCCCCAGAAAATGTTTCTTTTCCTTGTTTTTGGAGGTTGGTGCTAATCCCCAGTTGATCTTTCCTCTTAACTGCACCCCCTCCCCGCTATTTAAACCAGATTCTTATTGCTCCAAATTAAATCCATTTTTTCTAGCCTTGTCACTGCTAACTAATGAGAACAATTCCTCTCTGTGCTCTTGGTGGCTGCACTCTGGGTACTTATGGATGAGAATCATATCCTCCGTTAGCCTACTTTCTTAACTGCAGACTGCACAGGTGATAAAATGGGTTAATTGTTGCTATAAAAATATTTTCTACCCTCATAACAAAGTAATTTTTCCTCCAAATCATTTTAATTTCTTAAAATTGCACTGTGTTCTTAATGATCTGCAATGACTGAGGGTGTAGTCCTATTGGACTTATATACACAAGCAAAATGTTGAATGCACAATACACATGAATACACCGATTCTTGGTCACTGTGCTGTTTTCTTTTGGCCCCACCCACTCTGGCCTCAGTTTTTATCACACACTCTATACATCTCCAAGAGGAAGTTTGCAGCCTAGAGCAGGGTCACCAAAGTACAGCCAGCTGCCTGTCTTAATAAATACAATTTGTATTGGAGAAGTCACATACACTTTTAAAACATATCATGCCTACAGCTGCTTTGCCATTACATGGCTATATGACCCCCAAAGGCCAAAATATTTACTAGCTGGCTCTTTATAAAAGATACAAAAAAACTTTGCTGGCCCTCCACCCTAGGAGATCACGAACATTCAAATTGGCATTGCTACTTGTACCAGGTTAAGATGAACCACACCAAGTAAAAATCTCTTCTTTTTATACCTGAGCCATCTGCTGAAAGTTTCCTGAGATGACAAACCACACAGTTAGGGAGGGAGTCAAAATGGGAAGAGTTTTAAAATTTGTATCCCTGAGGCACCCTAGGGCAATCATGGTTCTGAGAAGAGAATGAGACTAAACACAGAAACCATCCCTTGGATAGAATACCAACACCCACATAGGCGATTTTTATAGGCACATGTCTCTTTACTGTGTCTAACTATAATTTCTGCTGCGTTTATCTGGCTCCCCAACTCAGCCCACCAGGAGGACAAGAGAATTCAGACTAAGACCCGGCACTCACTATGTGAAGCTGGAGGAAGTCTCCGAGGCCAGGAGCGCTGTCAATGCGAACCAGGATGCCATCCTTCACAGTGGTGCTGAAGCCCACGGCCAGGCGGTCCGAGCGCGTGCTAGGCCTGTCGTTGGCTGGCCAGGTGTAGAGGATGAGGCCTCCGCTCTTCCCAAAGATGTAGGTTGCGCCAGCTGCAAAAGCAAGGAGAGGGGGAGTCATCAGGGCAGCCAATCACGTGTTGCCAGATGTGGGCACACAGTTGAGCCTCTGCAAACAGCTGTGGAGGGGACACGCCCCCAAGTACCAGGACTTGGTGCCCGGGAGGGATGAAATCCAAAGCCTCCAAGGGTGGGCTGTCACCTTGAATTAAAGATGCAGGCAAAAACAAATTAATAACAGAGCAGATGTCAGGGAGCAACATTCCGAACATCTTCAGTTCCTGCTGCCTCGGGACGGAGGGCAATTGATATGCTCTGTCTGAGAGCTTGGGGACGTGTGACAACCAACTTTTCTGCCCTCCTCAAGAGCAGGATTAATTTCCCGTCTCTGCCAGGACAGACACCAGACAGAAAAGGAGTGCCCACATCTCTTAGCAATCTGGGTATTCTAGTCAGTGGGGCTGGGAGCCGTTCCAGAGACACCTCAGGAAACGGAGGGAAAACCCAGAGGGTCCAAAGCCATCATTCCTTTCATGCGTGGACCTCTACCACCCACAGAGAAGAAAGCTGGCGCCTCAGGAAACCAACTACGTGACTAAAAGAGTTTGCTGATCTCACTGTATTGTTGCTATTTAACAGATTATAAAAATTAATTCCAGAGGCCTCTGAAAAATTAACTTTAGTATTTTCCCCTAGCAGTGGTGTTTATCTGCTATGATATAACAGTTTCCACCTCCTTTTCCAAAAGGAGATATAGGAGACAGAAAACAAATCTCAGTATAATGAGAAGTGGTGTTGTCAACTATGACTAGTGGGTTTATCAGTGTATTTACTATTATTTCCTATTATTACTTGTGTTTTGCTATTGCTAGTTACAAACCCATGGGTTTGTAAGAAGATATTAATTTAAACATACTTAGAAAGCAAGCAGGAAAGAAAATAAAGAAATCATTTGCATCTCATAAATTGAAAACATCTGTTTTTATAAAATAAGTTTTTGAATCTGAATTTGGGGAAAAGCATTTAAGTTTGGTAGCCAGAATAGACTACATGATTGCAATTTCCATGCTTGTGTGTATGTTACCCACAACGGGCGCTTCCATATGTTACTTATCTCCAAGTTCAAAGACCATTTGGCACCAGATTGTCTTGTATGTTTCCCACTGAACACGGTTCAATCCTTGAAACTATTTTAAAGCAACATTAGACAAGCACTCAGATATCTTTAGCATTCACTAAAAATCTTAAGCCTTGGTCCACATTGAGTTTACAGAGGATATTGGGTTGAATGATGTTGTTTGAAGAAGAAATGAGTTTGCAGCTCATTTTTAAATAATAAAATAAATTGCTATGAGGCTAGAAATAGGAGAATATGTTATGTATAATCATTTTTTAAGCTCTAAGCCACATTATATTCTGAGGCATATAAAATCTAATTTATTATTTATCAAAAGTCACTATACTGGTTGCTCCAATATGCTCAGTTTGTATATTGCACATAACATAACATCATTTTCCTTTTATGAATTTCTCAATCTTTAGCAGACGGTGTCTGAAAAGCCCTTCAGGCCTCTGGAGAATTTGGGACTGTGATATGGAAAGTTTATGGTTAATTCCATATGCAAAATAATGTTTGCTCCTCACTATCCACAAACTCTTTCAAAGCTTCTTAAAATTAGAAATATGTGTATAGTCATTTACCCTTGGTATCGTTCCATCTGTGCAGAATTCAAATAATTCCCTTTCTGTGGATGATTACAAATATCATCACTGCTACCTTTAATCTTTATTTGGAAAACTGAAGGTTATTCAGTGATTAATATATAGAATCACCAAAAATGCAAATCAGCCTGTGACATTTTGTGGCAATTTATAAAAACATACTCTATTCTATCCTAAATATATAGTGGATTCTGCTATACAGATAAACCCATCAGGACATCCAAAGCCCCAAGGGTAGGCTGTCACCTTGAATTAAAGATGCAGGCAAAACAAATTATTTTGTCGCTATGAATAGAACTAGTCAAAAGTTAATAACAGTGATAGATATACATGATGCTTTATGGTTTGCAAATCCTTTTCAAATTCAGGAACTGGATCTTCCCAACTGTTTTATGGGCAATCTCATGTGTTAACACTGTTTGGGAACACAGACCCAAATATCTGACTTAATTAAGTGGCACCTCCTTTAAGTCTCCAGCTTAACCTTCCTGCCTCTGAAAGCCTATCTTTACCATATGCCAATCATAGCTGAATATAATAACACAAAAAACTATCCCAATGATGTAACCTTGACTGTACTTCGTCCTTTTCATATATTCTCCTAAGACTAAAATGGAACAAAAGCAAAGCTATGGCCCCTAAATCTGGCATGTTTTCAAAAGGTAGTCTGGTCTTCTTACTAAAAAAATAACATTACAAACCTTCTATTCTGCTTATATTTCTCCCCCACTGCCCTATTCCGGAATTATCAATATAAAGAGGAAGAACACTTTAAAAGATAACTATATAACCCCTTATATATAGTGGTTAGGAGGTCACCAGGGCTTCAATTCTTAAATAAGCAAAGAACAAAACCTCGCAATAACAATATTAGGCTAAGCAGATATAAAATTATTTAAAATTATTTTAATTGCTTCTGTTATTCTGAATTTAGGATTTCACTATGTTAGATAATTCTAACTTTGCAGGTAAAAAGGGTGTAAAGATAAAAAAATTCTTAGCATATGAAATATTTTGCTCTGTAGAAATAAACATTAAAATATGTATTCTTGGTACTGAATTTGCTAGTAAGGGTGATAAAGTCCAATGTTGGCTTGAGAGGAAGTTAATAGTTGCAACTTTCAATCTGATAGCTTGTCATATTTTTCTCCTCACTTAGCTTTGCTATCTGGAATGGTTTTTAAATATAAATACAAGCTTTCATTTAATTTTAATATAAAATGCCTGTAGTCCCAGGGGGACCATAGAATTATTTCGGTTTACGTTTCCAAATTAAAAAGTTAATTTTATTATTTTTAAATGTGGATTGCAAATCAACTTTTGGGGAACATTGCAGGAACTATAAGAACCTTCCTTAATCCATTAAAGATTTTCATTTCTAAGCCATGCAGTACCACATCACACGTTTTCTCCCCCAAGCCTAGTAGTTCTGATTGCTGGTTTCTTTCTGTGCTTATATGCCAATGCTAAAATCATACTACATATATTAATAATCTCAGCCATGTAAATTTCCTGCTTGCTGGCAAAAAGTGGTCAATTCAGTTGAAGAAAAAATTACTATAGTTGCATTTGGCCACTTAACATTGCAGGATTTTCAAGTTTGAAGGCAGCTGAGGTTGCTTTTCTGAATTCCAACCACCACTTTTTCAGAAATGAAATCTCCACACTGTCACCATTAACCAAGATAAAGTATATACACTCCATCTTCAAATAGTAAACAAGTATGACATGTTATTTAGCACACAGCTTCTTTTGTCTCAAAAGGACAAAAGAATACTTTGACTTATTGCTTTCATAATTGGCTAGCTGTTTACTGGGATGGAGCTGATGGTGGTTTTGATAGAGCGGATGGGGAGGTATATTTACATTTTTGTGTATGTTCTGTGTGTGGGGACCAAAGGGAAGAACAGCCTCCAGTGAAATCATGGAAGAGTCTGGGGAGTGGTTTCATGTATTTACGCAATAAGCTGATTAAATAGATGATCTATGATTTCTCAAAGAAGAATGAAGGAAAAACTGTTTTCCAGTTCATTCATTTCCCCAATAAATAGTTCTTAAATTTGTGGTGTATATTACTGCTTGTTTTACCAGAATCACATTTAATTGTTGATGGCAACTCAACTTTTCCTTATTCAGGACCTCTTGGATAATTCTGTTTTTGTTGTTTGGACTTATAACCCTCATTGTCCTCTCATTATGATATTGTTTCTACATCTATTACCATATATAAATATCATATTACTTTTTGGGTATATTAATAATAGGAATAGAATCAGGGTTCTGTTTAAGATTTACATTAGAGCCCTGACCAGTTTAGCTCAGTGGATAGAGCGTCAGCCTGCGGACTGTAAGGTCCCAGGTTCGATTCCGGTCAAGGGCATGTACCTTGGTTGCGGGCACATCCCCAGTGGGAGGTGTGCAGGAGGCAGCTGATCGATGTTTCTCTCCCATCGATGTTTCTAACTCTCTATCCCTCTCCCTT